CGGGTTCTCACCGGACCAGGCTCTCACATCACCAAGCGCGAAGCGCCGTGAGATATTCGGCGAGTCGCATGAAGGGTGCGCTGCATCCTGCTAAGGGTGTTCGGCATCTTGTGCTTCCTTCCTTGCGCACGGAAGACAGCTGCGTATGACTTATCATATTTTCTGGTGCTTTCACTTCCTGAGACAGTTGTAAGCACTGTGTAACTGCCTCGAGGGTGCTTGACCATTTTAACACAACGTGATGCGATCATCCCCCTTGCGCGGAGTGAGGGTTGTCCACCCCGCACAACATGATCTACTCGACCACCATTATGGTTAACGCCAAAAAAAAAAGAGGTAAAAAAAAGACGGTAACCTGGTTGCCGAGTTCACGAAGTGAATTGGCTTGTTTTACAACGTCGTTGCCAAGCGACGAAAACCCAATCCCAATCGGGGAGCGGGGGCGGGGTTGTTGGTTGGCTGAATCTCTGGGGGGTGGTTTTGCCCTCTGCTTCCTCTCCTATCGCAGATACACAATGGACGGGCGGTCATAGACGTGAGGGAGCAGGGGGATGTTTTCGTTGGTGTCTTCTGTGTGCCTCTGGTTGGTCGTCACGCAAATACATAATGCACGCGGTCGGTGGTATGTGGCGGGGGGGGGGGCAAGGGGGTTTTCGTTTGCACAGATGCACTGGGGAGACTTTGTTTTCTTGCCCCTTGTGCCGTTTTGGATCACAAATACTTAGAAGTAGTTGCTTTTGGATTTGTTTGCGGGTGTCATTTTTATTACAGCAAGGTCGACGAAATTTTTCCTCCGTTTCCGAACACGGAGGTTTTTTATTCCGCTGATTCTTGTTTCCATGCACTGGGAGACTAAGAATGCCAATTCTTTATTTTTTTCTTGTGCCTGCACGATACCTCATGAACCGCACCAACTCCATACGCACGACAGCGTCCGTGACGGAAACACAGCCGTTCAACCGAGACATTCAAAATGTTGCGCAAGCCAGCGTTTCCGACGCTCAGCGATTTGTGGACAAATAAATGACAGATCAGTCCACATAAATATTTCTTTTGCCTGCTCGATGCCTCATCACCCGCACCAGCTCCACACGCACGAGAGCGTCCGTGACGGAAACACAGCCGTTCAACCGAGACCTCGGAAATGTTGCGCAAGCTAGCTTTTCCTACGCACGACACAGAAAATAGACGCGACTACAAGATTACTCACCGCACGGATGTAGAGCTCAAGCGGCCGAAGAACCCTCCTCGTCATGTACCACGCGCTGTTTCTTGGCCCACTGCATGGATGTAGAGCTCAAGCGGCCGAGGAACCCTCCTCGTCATGAACCACGCGCTCTTTCTTGGCCGGGGGCCAGACGGCCTTCTCCTTCTTCAGGGCGAAGTCGAGGAATTCTCCGAGGAGCACGGCACGCTGTCCGTAGAAGCAGTTGTCGCAGCGGAACATGGAGGGGTCCTTGTCGGTTCATCCGTTGGTGTCGTAGAGCAGGCGCGCAGCCTTGCGGCAAATGCCGCAGGCGTAGTCCTTGTTGTCCTCGATCTTGCGAACTTTCTCTTTGAAGACACGTCCATCGGCGTGGGTGTAGATGCGGTCATCAGTTCACCCATTCCGAGGTAGAGGGTGGAAAGCCCGATAGGGGCGACGCAGCTCTGGCAGTTGAAGGAGACTTTAGGCTTCTCGCGGCGGGCGACCCTGGCGGTGGCGTTCGACTTAGGAATGATCTTCCGGCATCCGCCACAGCTGTCGATCAGGAAGAAACAGGCTAGGAAGGGGATAGGCGAGAGGGCATGATATTCAGACGACATAGAGTTGAAGGTTCGGCATGATGTAGCGGCAAAGTGCAGCGTGCAGGAGACCGGTGCGTCATGTTGGAGCGTCGCACCCATAGCGTGATAAAATGACAACTTCATCATGTCAAATGACAGATAAATGACAGATCAGTCCACAAAATATGACGCCCACGAGACCCGAACCTGGGAATCACGCTGGTATGTGCATAGAACGATTCACGGTGCGGAGTAAATCTCACGGGCCAATCTTTCAGTCTGTTTCCGATGTCCTCCAACGCAACTGGCTGCGGGCGCCGCGGTTCAAACGCTCCAAACCGCGGGAATGCCCACAGCCGTGGGCGGAGCAGCAGTCGGTCACACTTTCGGCGCCAACAACAATCGCGTCCAACTTCCTTTTTCGGGACCGGCCCAGCCAGCGTTCCTGCTAATAATCACGATGTCCCAGATATCTTGCCGCTTCGAGCTGGCGGTACCACGGCCGGGCAGCCTCATCATATGGACGGTCCTCCTATATCGCGAGCTGCATTACGATCGGAATGAATCGCTCAACGCGACCAACGCGCAAGAAGAGCAGAGGCGGAAAGTCAGGCAGCAACGGACAGGCGAACTGAGCAACGTCAGCGTATCGCTCGAGAAAAACGGAATAGAGGAGGCAGGAAACGGAAAGCAGCCATGACAGAAAGGAATAGGTATGGCGTGGTAACCCGTAACCTGAGTCTGTGCTGGATTTTTTTGTTAGACGATTGGGTATATTTAGGTAGTCCAAATCGGTACACTGAATCCTAGTGTTGGAAGTACGTACTCCTGTACCCCACCATGAAGCAAGGTGCACTTATTACAGAGTACGGGGTACTACCACCTTTCGACCTACTAATAGGTACCACCTTTCCATTACACATGAAACAGTGTTTTTGACTCGTTTCCGTACGTTCTTCCCTTTTTCCAACAACAACAACAGTCGGAATGCCAGGGAAGCACGGAATAGGAGCGACAGGGAGCGACGACCAGCTGAAACGCCAAGCAATAGGTGATTTTTACCTACGATACAGAGTTGCCATATTGCAGGAACGAACAGGCAAGGAGCGAATAGCAGCTGCTCGGAACCAAGACATGAACATGTCAGGCACTCGTTTGATTTTCAGCTGCTTGGAACCAAGACAAAAACATGGCAGGCACTCGTTTGATTTATGGAACTCCTATTATCGTGCCATGACACAGGAACGACTGCAATCAAGGCGAAGAGCACAACCGGCAAGAAATAGGTAAGATATGCTCCTGCATCAAAACTGTCGCTAAAATATTTCAAATGAGGCAGCCGATTACCATTGGTATCACGAACAGAACTGTGCTTTTCGTGATGATTTTACCGTCCAATATTCTATATTTCGTTCTGTCCGCCGTGTGATTGTCCCTTCGTCCTTCAGGGGGCCGTTGCCTTTCGCACCTTACATCACAGAGCCGCCTGTACTAGCGTGCGACCACGCTGAAGGGGTGGTTGACGGTCACGACCGTCTATTGTACGCCGTCGACGACGTCCTCAACTCCTCAGTGCTACACCACTGCGCTTCGAGGTTCATCACCAAACTCGCCGACTCTGACTCCAGGTGAACTCAGACTAAAATATCATGCCGTCTCTCACTCGCACACGTGCCGGCTATTTCGCATGAAGACCTGTCGGAGCGCCCGCCAACAAACACCCTCGATTTATCAGGCCTCCCCCTCCCCCATTTTGTTTTTTTTTGCAGCGTGTCTGTTTGTGACTGCATGTGCAAAGAGAAGGACTGCGAGTTGTTGTCAGCGGGAGAATTGCCCAACCGAGACTTGCTCACTGCCGACGCCAAGCTTACCAACTGTGACGCGGTGAGGCCGTTGTTTTTCACCTATCTTGGCGACAATAGCAACCTCCTCAATGGTCTTGTTTTGCAACGAGAGGGTTTCGAGAGCACGGCGCCACACCGATTGCGGGTTTGCTCCATCCGCTTGGCGGACCTCCGGAAGAACAAATGCCCGAAAGCAGCCAAAGCAAACGTTTTTTTTTTGGGAGATTTCCCGGCAGAGCTGAAAGAGGCCACGTGGGTTGAGATGTTGGCGGCGGGCCCTGTCAGGCTAAGCGGGACTATAATCGCCCTGGAACAGCTAAAATCGGTCGTGTGCCTGGTTCAGCCAAGAGCATGATGCGGTCCACATTCACGTTCTATATGCAGAGCTCGTACGCCATTGGGCGCCACCTTCCAGCATGCGACACTGATATCGCAGGCTCGTTCGCTTGCGTTGTCGTTGGTAGCAAGAAACCAACGACCGCCCAACTTCAACGTTTCTTTGGGGCACGAAAATCTATCTACACAGAGAGAACACCTTGATCGGAGTTCATAAGCTCGCCCGAGAAGCTCAGGTATCCGAAGCCAACCTTCAGGGGTATCCAGAGGACGGGTCCACGCCGCAAGCTATTCAAGACGCCCTTATCTCTGTCACTGATAGAAGAAACACCGTCGCAGCAGCTCGATCCACGCACGCACACGGCAATCGTGAACCTGAGCAGCCTGTCGGTGGTACTAGCGGTAGTGATGGACAACGCGACGGAGAGGATTCGGACAGACAGGGTAGCGGTGATGTCAACGGCGATGATGACGACGACGGCGTACTGCCTCCGTGTGTGAATGAAACCAAAGCCGTCATGCCTTCAGGGAGCGATCTTGCCAAATCGTCCCAGTACAGGCCTACTAGGCTACGAGCGTTGCAAGCGGAGTTGAGTTTGTCCGACTCCACGGGACCTGCGTCTCTTGCGCAGTAGACAATCGCGGAAGCTGCTGCTGCCGCTGGCTTGGCTCCGCCCGTGCATCCTCGCAATGCCATGATCATCACGCACACCGGTCAAATGGTGTCTGACTTTTACGACGAAGGATTGTTCGTGGCAGCCTTTTTTATCTCTTTCCGCACGGAATCGGGGGGCACTTGGACGAAAAAAGGAGGTAGATAAGTTTCCAGGAGTGGGCGCAAATTTTACTGCGGCAACGTGATCCGCGCTTCAGGAAGCACAAGAGCTTTTTGTTCTTTGTCTGTGTACTTATTTTCAGGCGAGAAGCCATCAAGAACGCTCGTTGGAAACTAACTGGCAGGGTGTCCAGGCGCACAGCCGAAACGCTTGCTACAATTACCCCGGAGGATTTGGCTGCTGCTGGGAAGGAAATGGAGCAGGGCAGCAGTGCATGGTCTGCCTTGGCCAACCGCAATGCTGTTCGCACGTTGCTCACGACCATGGAATCCGTGCACGCCGGCTCATCGTGGACCATCTACAACAAAAGGTCTACAAGGATGATCGCCATGCGCTTATTATGCAGATTGGACAACCGCTGTGGTGGATGACGATTAGCCCTGCTGACACAAACAGCCCCATCGTTTTGAAACTGGCTGGCGTCAACATCGATGTGACAAGTCGCTTGATCCAAGATTATCCTGACTACGCCAAGCGCCTTCGACTGGTAGCGAGCGATCCGTGGCTTCCGCTCTCTATTACCACTCGGTCACCGACGCGGTCCTCACCTGGCTGCTTCGAGTCGATGCGCGTGATGGAGATGGGGGAGTACTTGGGCGCGTCAAAGGTGAGTCTTCTGTTTCTTCCTTTCCAATCTGTACGAGATAGCACATCTTCCTCTTTCTAGTGAATACGTGAAATTCCTCACAATTCCACCTATTATTGCTGTTCATTGGACATACCTTGACCTTAAACATTTAACTCCCTGCTGTCCATGTTATTTCCTTTGTGCCCGTTAATACCCAGGATATCTGGGCATGACCGAAGAACAACGCCGCGTTATGCTCCATTCCCATGTCGTGGTATGGGTGTACGGTTTCAACGAGTTTTCCAGCTTTCGCGATCTTATGGACAAGCGTCCGGAGAAGTACAAGCTTGCTCGGTTCTTGGAACGAGTCATCTTCAACCAAGTCGCCTCTTTCGCGGATGTCAACCTCGCCATGCACGGACACGACCATACGCCCAGAGCTTCGAGCGAACTCGAACCGGAGAACGTCTCTGATCCACTCGTGCGGCCCGCTAAAGAGAGAATGGCCCAACCACCATCACCAGCATGCTTCCCCCGTCAAGGCGTCAAGCGTTGTCCCGTCCACGACGACAGCTACGCCCGTCTCATGTACCTCGACCTTGCGGAACTGGTTCCTGGGGCGCAGTTACATCGCTGCCAACCAACTTGCCACAAATTCAACAACAGGAACAAGTGCAGGTGCGAAATTTCGTTCTCTCCGTTCGAACTATTCTGTACATATTAGACCCAGCTCCGCGATCAATCTTTGTAGGTAGTTGTATACACCTCATGTTGATGTCGCACTTTATTCATCTTTGTCCAACTGTATTATGTGTGTATGTGTGTTTATTGTCGTGGTGCAAGCAGATTTCGGTATGGAGACAAGGCCAAATCTTTAGAGCAGGAAACTACCTTGTTCAGGGGTCCCTGTACGTTCCACACCAACGGCGGCATGACCATCAGCGGAGTTGTCTATCCCCCGGGAGATCCGTCGACGGCAGAAAGTATGGTCGCTGCTCAGGCTTTTCAGAACGCTTTCAACGAGTGCGTCTCTGTAGCTTCTGAGCCCGAGTCCGACCGCTTCACGGCCACCGTGCGCCGCCTCAGCACCCACATCAACCCCTACAACCCCATCATCCACTTCCTCATTCGTTCCAACATGGACTCGAAAGTTATGCTCCGAGATTCCGACGCGAGGGGACTGCTTTACTATGTGCTTCATTACTCGACGAAATCGGAGCAGACGTTGGACGTGTTGTTGCCACTTCTCTTCCTCGTCGTACAACGAAAAAGATGCGAGAAGGAAGGAGAGCCGGCCAAAGAGACGGCGGTGCGACTCGTGAGATCTTGCCTTTGCAAGCAACTCACAAGCCTCAACATTGACGGGCCGGCTGCAGCGAGCAAGGTTTTCGGCTTGCCTGATGCCAAAATCTCACACACGACAGCGCCCTGCTCAATGAGGCCGTCGCTTGCATGGGCACCGTCTAGAGACGCTCCAGATGAAGAACCCGACGATGGCGACTCCACCAGCGGAGACGACCAAGAGGACTCTGGCGATGAGGCATCGGATGATCAACACGGAGTTGTCGTATCGGTTGTAGGTGGTCGCCTGACGGTGAACCAAAGGGCTCACGTTCTCTACCTTCACCGGTGTCTGCTGAAAATACGGAGCATGCCCTGCACGGTATGTCGTACGTCTCGTGGACCAGGCTCGTTCGTACTGAGCGTTACACAACATTCAAGAAAGCATCCAACTCTCGCCAGAGGGTCGCAGATATCGAGAGCGATAGCGAAAGCGACAGCGAGGGTTCTGGTGACGACCTTGACGACACTCAACCCCAACGACGGCGGCGAGGGCGTGCTCCAATTGCGCGATACGACTGTGTTGGCCACTTCCACAAGAAATGGGTGCAAGTAAGACTCATTCGTGTGGTTGCTTCAATAGTGTAATACTTAACGTAAATGAAAAAAAAAAAGAAGGCGCCAGACAAACGTTTCATACAACTTCATCGTTCACGCGTTTGGTGTGTCTCCCGGGCAGGTCATGCGTCAGGGCCCCGTCATGGTCAACATCATGCGGGACATCCCACGTTCCGACACCAAGCCCGAAGCTCACTGCCGCCTCCTTCTGTGCACGTTTGTGACATTCTTTGAGCAGGATGACCTCAAACTTGTTGGAGACTCCTGGACGACCGCCATGGCTAACGTGGAACAGCATGACAGGTGGGACAAGCACAAAGCCATTCCGACTAAACATACTGGCATGCTGCGACTACGAATCGCTGCCGACGAAGAGTGGGCTAACAGGAAGGAAGAGGAAGCTTTCGTTTCGGGCAATCGTGGGCAGGAGATAGAAATGGGATCGGACGGTTAGGATGAGATTATCCTCAACGACCTCGGCGGCGACGACGACGACGACCAAAGCGTCTTTCCCGTCACAAAGCAGCGAGTTCTTATGCAGGCTTTTGTCCACGACGCCCATGATGCTTTCGTATCGGCCGGGTTTCGCGGCAACGACAGCCAGGCGGGTCGGTCAGTCGCCCTACCTTGTATCAGGTCGGCGGAGTAGGTTCAGGGTGACGTCGAGTGCATCACCACGTTGACCGCCACATCGGCTGAGGCGGCTTTGGCACGACAAGAATCAACCTTGACTTCAATGAAAAACAGTCAGGCTGCATCTCTGGGAGGGCGAACAGCGACCACACCAAACGCCGATCCGCACCCCCCGACCAATCATTCCGATCCTGTCGCCATCGAACCGTATCTCGTGCAGCTACACGAGACGTTATGCGCTGGTTTGTCCCAGTCGAGTGTAATAGCATCAAACGCCAGACGAAACCGGAACAACCAAGAGGTAGCTCGCACAGACATGGGAGCAGCAGAGCTTTCTCAGCACCCCGTGGCCTTCCGAATTGCCCAGGAGTTCGGCTTAAACCGCGAGCAGAGGTTTGCCTTTTACATTTTCGCCAACTGCATGTTTGCCAAGAAGCGGTCTCACTCGCCCGCTCTGATACTCTATATTGGTGGTGGCGCCGGGGCAGAGAAGAGTTGGGTGCTCAAGGCCATCAAGACCTTCATCGGTCCAGTACTTGCTCCCGGGTCGCGGGGTTAGGGCGGAGCACGTCGGGGAAGTGGAGGCTCCCAAACTTTCGTAAAGTTAGATATTGTCGCTACTTTTGGGTGTACACGTATCGGATAAACATTCGGACTTCTCCAACAAAAGCCTTTGAGATGATATGTCCTGGTGTTAGGCAGGTAGCCATTGCAGATCAATTCCGCTTGGGTCGCCCAGGCAGAATTGGTTTACCGGTGTTGCAGAAGTTTGGGATGGTTGTACTGTGCGCTCTCCTTGTTCCGAAAATATTAATCCATGTACTCCACTCTGTTCGGTTTGTAATATTACTTCATGTACATTTACGCCGTTCGGTTCTTTGCGGGCGTTTCTTACCGGGTTTTGAACACGTTCTCAACAATCCAGTACATAAGAATATATTTAAAACCAAGCGGTGCACGCGGCCTTTGTCAGCGAACAGTGCACGCGGCCACACGATCGCTTTAGTGCCTTTCGAGCGAAGCGAGACCCCGCGTGGCCCTTGTGACCAAACAGGCCACAGCCTACTGCAGGTACTTTTCCGCATCACGGGTTGTTGTGATAAAGCACGCAAAAAAATCCCGACGCCCCGCAGGTATCTATGCGGTATTTAGACTATGTAGACTGTGTCTACTATTGTTGTATCATATCATATCGGTGGGTCTACTTTTTATGTGTTTTTTTTCCAACTCTACTTCCATCTTTGCCTTCGCAACTTTTGTTGCAAAACAAGTTACACCTGAGAGAACAAGCACATCGGACGAGCCGTGTGCCTTCAGCAATGAAGAAATATGCTCTTATGTGATTTGTCGAGAACGCGGCAACCACTGCCGGATGTAGCGACCAGGTGTGTACAGTAGCACCATCTGCCTTGCTTGGTGAAAAATCTATATTGACACGCGGCAAGCACCGCCAACACAACGATAAGCGACATCAGACAAAGCATCAAATCTTCTCTCATGAATGCAGCCTTGCATCGAGAAACATGCGTGTCTCACATCACAGCCTCAACGTGCGTGTAGGTTTTGTCCGGTGTAGATGTGTGAAGGAACGTGTCATGCCGTACAGACCACCAAGCACACCATGACGGGCCCCACGCCTATTTTGAGCGTCGGAGACAGCTACGATGCCGAACGCGTTGTGAAACGTAAAAGCTACATGCGGTTCCCATTCCGTCACCTGAAGACGTCATTGTCCCATGCCATGTAGCCCGGAGCATGAAGAGTCTCTTGGATCGTAACGTCAGTGCGCCGAACAAATGGTGCTTAGACGAAATTGCCTGTTCTCCATTTTTTTTGCGCTTCTCCAAAAGGGGTCGCCACAACCCTGCGTATCCGTAGCAATGCCATACACGCCATCATACAATGCGGCGACTCGATTGGTGGTGTGTCATGTGCGTGACGTACGTACGTAGATCCAGCATTGCACTCACCGCATCCCAACGGCATGCATGACACGCATCAAACGTCATGAAGAAAGCAAACAAAACGAAAGGACGGCGCAAACCACCAAGAAACGCGCAACGTTTTTCAAGAATCGAAGAGACAAACAATCCCAATCGCAAGGCAGTGCGCATGTACCTGAAGCAGCAGACAGTTGGGGTAAGCATCAAAGGCGCCCCTCCGCGTTTGCAAGTGGCGTGTCCCGGAGTTTCAAGAACTCCGCACCTCGCATCACAGCGAGCTTTCACAGCCGCTGCGACACTGCTCGCGCTCGCGTCGCCTGTACCGGCTCCTCTCATACGGTCCACTAGCTACTGGCCTCCTGATCCCGCTGATCCCTCGACTCCAGCTGCTGGACGGTCGACCTGCACCTCCTTGCCCTCCATGCCGAAGAACATCGTCTCACGGCGCGAGAAGGACGTCCTGGAAGTTAACGTCAACGATAACCACGATGTGGCCGACGTCGATCTTGATCCTGTCCTCCAGGCGGAAGGAAGGAAGGAGATCCGACGTGGCTCTAAGAATGAGGTTCGTCTACGTCCTTCGGAAGACCTTCCAAGTTCTTCGAACCGGGCACTTGGTGCCGACGATCGCCGTGGTTTCATGGACAGCGATGATGCGGTCCCCTAGGAGCCGTCAGGCTGAATAATAAGAATGTGTTTCAATTCGAGCGTGGGCGCCGTGCTGCTCAGCCCGTCGTGGTGTATCACCGGAAGCACGTGTGGGGAGTATTGGCCGGCAGAAAGCGGGCGGACGCCCGCAGTGGTTCGCCCGACGCCCCCGAGACGGGCGGTGCCGCAGCCGGCGCTGGTGCAGGTGGCGAGCTGTGGCTGACGATTCAGCTGTGGGTGGTGCGGTGACGCGTTCAGCGTAGGTTGCGTCGGGTTGATACGAGTTCCGGGTATTTCTCGAGAAAAATTATCTGGTAGCCATTGTCGCGTTTGCGTTTTCGACAGTGCAGGGAGAAACACATTGCAGATACAAGAGCCTGTATCCCTTGTCGTGCGGAATTGGATTCGTCTGCGGGTCCGATTTTTCTTTGGGAAAACGGCAGCTTCGGGGCGCCGGCGGGGGTTGGCGACCTGAAACGGCACGCGAGGAATTGACACCGGAGTTGACCTCGAGGTCTCACGCTGATGGACAAAACCCACCATGCATCTATCGTCCATGGACGGCTCACGTGCTGTACTAGCAACCCGGCTTCACAGCCACAACAGACCTCGCTCCTACGGTACTGTTCCTGTGACATGACCAGTACAGCGAAACAGATCGATTATGACATGTTTGCCTTCGCATGAGTGTAGGACTTTAAAGGTTTGCTCTGTGATCTCGAAAGAAGACAGTTGTATCGGGACAAAACAGAAAGGCCGGCTACTTCATCTCGAAAGGGCAGCTACAATGGCTTCTCCGTTCATTACATTATCTCTTCTACAGTCTGAACATGTAAAGACTATTTCACGTCGCAGCGGGCCTAAATCCCCCTCCGGTGGGAGATTAGTCACCCTACAAGGCACCAATGGGCATAGGACATGCACAACTGTGTTACTATGTTGTGGGGCTATTGTGGGACCCATGGTACAGCCAGAACGGCTCAGGTTTGGTGCAGCCATGGCTAACGGGGAATTTCATCAGCTGCCCCAACCTGCCCCAATTGTGGGTACGTTGCCTTGAAGCTGCATGTAACCCTGCAAGGCTCCAATCGAGAAACAAACACCGATAGGAGTGTTGAGGCGGCGAGTAAGCACATGAAGCATTCTCGCCGCACGACCTCGAACGCGTTAAGTCAAAATGGAAACACTGCAATCTCACTGGTGGGGTAAATATTTAGCACGCCGCTTACCCCACCAGTTGTATGTCGCCCCACTAGACTCCAACACTATTCAGGACATGCACAGGTATGTTGCTGCGTTGCAGGAGTATTATGGGACCCGTCGTGAAGCCGGAACAGTACAGGTTTGGTGCTGCCACGGCTGATGGGGGGACGTTCGCAGTCACCCCACTTGGCGGGGTACGCCCTACTGGATTCCGATCGTCACAGGACGTGCTCAACCGTTTGGTGTCTGGCAGAGCTGTCGTAGGACCCATCATTACGCCCAAGGAGCTCCGTGTCGGGGGGCAAACTGTGCATGTGCCCACCGGTGGGGCGGATAAGCCTTGAATACCGCACCACCTGGATCGCAAGCTCACCAGGACTTGCATTACAAGGACGAGCACGGTGGTTGGAATGTGCAGTTGATGTCACACAAAGCGGGCAGTGTTTGCGGTCTACGCCACCAATTTATCGAGCGAGACTGTTTCGGTGATGTTTTAACTTCACGAGAGGTAGACGACCGTCCTTCTCACGGGCTAAAGAGGAAGTGCCCCACATGGCAGCTCCCACAGCAAGGAGGGGCCCCGTGAATCATCGCGGTGCCGCTTACCAAACGGCAATCTTACCAATCTGCGTGACACGAAGTCATACAGCACATGTATCCAACACCAATGTTTCGCAGACCCACGAACACCCTCCCTGGTTCTTCACGCAAGCGACCAACCATCAATGCGGCAAGAACGCCCCTGGACACATCAAAAACACCAATATGGTAATGTATGGAGGGGAAACCCGGCGTCCGGGCAAAACCCCTAAGAAAAAAACATACCACCACAAAACCCGTCGCTATCACAGCGGATCACAACGGCCGCACGTATTAGAAAGGCCAAGGCGAAGACAAGAGCGCGAGGAACTACGTTCCCCCGGACGATGGTCTCCCAACGCCCCCTACTCCTGCCATTTGTGCACAGACCACGACAGTATTGCGTCTTTCCCCGTACGGTAAACATGACCTCTTTCAAGTGCATAAACCTGCGACAGCTACTCCGGCAAATTCATCAACTTGCGCCGGTGGTACTGCAGAGTGGCCCTGCTGAGGACCTTGGTTAAGAGGTTCGCGTGTTGCTCCGTCGTCGGAAGGAACTTGAAATATCTCCCGACCTCAACAATCCGCGGATGAAATGAAACCTCGTGTCGATGTGTTTCGTGCGACCTGAGGTAAGGGGGATCTGCACCAACGCCATGGCCCCCTGGTTGTCCTCAAGGACCTAGATGCTGCTACCACTGGTCTCTGGGGCAGCAAACGAAAGCACAGCACGCACAAACAACGCCTCCTTGACGCCCTCCCCGGCAGCAATGTAGTCGGCTTCCGTCGAAGACGAAGGCACGATGCTCTGTGTCTTGCTACCATGGCTGACAACGGTACCTCCAACCGTCGTCGCCAACCCTGACACCGAACGCTTATCCTCCGTGTCGGCATAGTTGGCGTCCACGTACACGGCCAGCCCTAACCCCGATCCCCGTGGTAGGTGATGCCGAGGTCCCTCGTCTCCTTCAAGACGACGAGGATCTTCTGGATAGCATCCCAGTGCCTCTTCGCCGGGGCGTGGGCGTGGCGCGCTACCGCACGCACGCCGAACGGACCTCTGGACGCGAGAAAGTCGACACCCACATCATGCTGCCGATGGCCTCCCTCACCGGCCACTCCCCTCCCTCCTCGTCACCTGGCCTCGGTCCTACGTCGACACCAGCGGCAGAAGGATGCGGAGGTCGATTGTACATCAAATCGTTTCACCATGCTGTCAATGTACGCGGGTTGTGAGTTTTTAAGAGTCCCAGCCTCTACATCTCTCTCAATGGCACACCCGTCAAANGCCGAACGGACCTCTGGACGCGAGAGCGTCGACACCCACATCATGCTGCCGATGGCCTCCCTCACCGGCCACTCCCCTCCCTCCTCGTCACCTGGCCTCGGTCCTACGTCGACACCAGCGGCAGAAGGATGCGGAGGTCGATTGTACATCAAATCGTTTCACCATGCTGTCAATGTACGCGGGTTGTGAGTTTTTAAGAGTCCCAGCCTCTACATCTCTCTCAATGGCACACCCGTCAAACCATTCGCATTCTCCCAGATTATTGGTGGGGAAGTTCTTGTTGAGAGAAGCGAGCAACTCATTGCAATCCTCGTCAGACCCAGCCACCAAAATGTCACCCACGTATATCACGACAATCATCACCACGACTTCGTCTATCATCTTGTGTAAAACACACGGGTCCGCCTTGCACTGCTCGAACCCGTTCTCGACTAGCGTATCAGCAGCGTGGTACCCCCACTGCCTGCCGCTCTGCTTCAGACCGAAAATCGCACGCTAAGCCTTAACAATCTTGTGCGATTTGTCCCCGCACCCAGCGGGGAGCCTCAGAAAGCCTCCTCGTCTAGCGTGGCGTGTGTGTACGCTTGCTTCACATCCCAGTGATTGAGGTTCATGCCCTTCTCGTTTGCTACCGCAAGTCTTAGTGTAATGGATGCGGATGATGGGCAAGGGGAAGACGAATGGAAATAGTCCACCTTCGGGATTAGGTTATATCGGACGAAGCCATCTGAGTTCGCGAACATGTGGGTGGTAGCGCCGGTATCGGCAACATACCTACCTGGCCTGCTCTACACCCCCTCGACCAACGAGTACACTCGCCTGAGATGTCACCGACCACGAGCGCCGCTTCTGCCACGTCCAGTGCTGTGGCGTCCGCAAGCGCCCCCCTCGCCGGCACTTCCGCCACCAGCACCGCTTCCTCGGCCAGGTACTTGCTCTTGTCGTGCCCGCAGCCCTTGAATTGTTCACATCGCACGGGCTTGCTCTCGGTGCAATCGGCCACCTGGCGACCCTTCTAGCCGCACCGGAAGCAGCGACCGCGCATGCTACCCGCACCGTCGTCGCCGCCTTCGCCACCGCCACCAGCCCTCGCGCTACCCCCTCTCCCCTTCTGGTTGCCGCCGCCGCCGCCGCCGCCGCCACCCTTGCGGCGGCCGCTGTTGCCGCGGCCCGGCGCTCCTCCTCCGCCGCTACCGTCGCTCGCGAGGAGAGCATGGTCCGCCCTCCGCTGGCCCTTCGAGGCCTGCCTCCCCTCCGGGAGGCTCGCGTGCACCGTGCTCACGATCCAAACGATCTCGGCCCTATCCAGCGCCGTCGTTGTCTCCCAACAGGAACTTCGCTTGTTGGTTCTCGGGTGGGAGAAGCCGACAAGGCTTTCGGGAATAAATGCGAGACCGCAAAAGAAATCCTCGCGGAACTCGATGAAATCTACGATCCGGAATCGCAGGGCTCAAAACAAGCCCTCATGAAGCAAATGCTCAACTTCACGATCCCCACAAACAGTAGCAGAAACCCTATCGAGCACCTATACTCGCTCGACCTGCTGTACTCACGCCTACGCAAAAGGACTCAACGCTGACGCACCGTTTGTACTCGCCCACTTCGTTGGTTCCCTCACGATGGCAGTGGTGACAAAAATGGAACGCTTGGAAGCCCCTCTGAACCTCGTCGCTACAGCTTCGAGCTTGGCACAACTGGGTTGCCGAGGTGCACATCTCTCGTCGTTACCGATCAATTGCCCGTCCAGTCCTACAGTTTTGGCAGCATGGATAAGCGACTTTCTCCACGAGTCATACGCACGGCCGCAACTCTCCCCTTCGAGATGCGGGGCATTGACTGTTACTCTGTTCATGTGGCTACTGCTGTAGCCATCGAGGAATCCCCCATTGCCTCGAATCACGGGTATCTCACCTGAGGGGTTTAACCCCCTTGCTTCCTCGTAGTCCGGTCCTATACCCGGGCCCACTCCGGCTGGTCCCACAGGATTTGCTCCCGATCTGCTGGCCCAGCCGCCTTCCAGCAGCTGATGTGGTCCTTGTCCACCATCTCTCGCTCGCTGCTGGAGAAATCCACAGCCTCCGCCGAGCGGCTGCGTGGGTTGATCTTGGCCTCCAGGCCAGCAATCCCGCCGCCCCTACTGGCTGCATCCGCCACGACGCTGCCAGGCTCCTTCTTGTTCATCGACTCCTCCACCAGGGCCGCCAATCGCGAAACCTGCAGTTTCAAACTTGCAAGCTCCGCATCGCGCCCCCCCTGCACCGCCGTGCGAGTCTGTTCCTCGCTGCCGGCGGTAGGCTCCACGTCTCCGGCAGAGCTCATCCCGATGTGGCTTCCCTCGAGGGGCAAACTCTAAGAGTGCGGCCTACGCCACGTACTTGTCGAGTGAGCCTGTTTCGGTGATGTATTAACTTTACGAGAGGTAGACCACCGTCCTTCTCACCGCCGAAAGAGGGAGTGCCCCACATGGCAGCTCCCATAACAAGGAGGGGCCCTGTGAATCATCGCGGTGCCTCCTACCAAACGGTTATCTTACCAATCTGCCTGACACCATATCGTACAGCACATGTATCCAACACCAATGTTCGCAGACCCACGAACAGGCAGCAGCTGAGGACGAAGACCAGGACGAGGGAACCAGATCATTTAACAACCGGACAGCCTTATGCACATGAGGTGGAAACTGGAAAAGGCCTTCTCCGATCTTCCACACGGAAGCAACCAAAACCCGAGCGCTTTGACGAAATAATCCGTATGGCCACAGTCGGAAATACCGGCTGGAACGGTGGCTACTTCTCACGATCTAATTTCGACCAATATCAGTCTGTTGTATAGATGTGGATAGATTGTTTGTGTCCTCCAGGCATGCTCGCGTTACGCGCGTAGTAAAACAAGTGAACGATTCCGATGTTTGGCAGATGGCACGACTCTGTTGTTCGTACCACACTGCCTCGAGAGATTATGTATGCAGACAGATGGCATGTATCTTGTGCATAACGTGTAGTAGCTGGGATTCTGTTTTGACTCCTTCGTCTCGGTGTCGGGTTGGCGATCTAATTTATCTGTTGGTAACCGAAGTGTGTGGTTACGACACGATTCGCCAACTAGACCAGTCTAACCCTAACCTGTAACATTTGGCGAATAACGGCGTGTCTAAATCCCCCCCTGCCATATCTCTGCCCACAAGGCATCAATCGAGGCAGTACATGCACGACTGTGTTGCTGTGTTGTGGGGCTATCGCGAGACCCATCGTACAGCCGAAACTGTTCAGGTTTGGTGTGACCATGGCTGATGGGCAAAACATATCGGTTGCCCCAACGTTCCCCCCCGGGGGGCATTAGTTTCTAAACACCCCCCCGCTGTATCTCTGCCCACAACGCACCCATCGAGCAGGACATGCACGATGCAGTGTTGTGGGGCTATCGCGAGACCCATCGTACAGCCGAAACAGGTCAGGTTTGGTTCAGCCATGGCTGACGGGGAAATTCATCGCTCACCAAAAAAAACAACAGCGAACAATTGCAAACAATCGCAAACGACAACAAAACGGAAAGCAACCATTTTGGGAGATAGTCTAGGTGGTGATGAACGTATGGTTACCGCCACGAACATGTTCCTCCCGGTCGTCCCTGCGACGTGCAAGTCATACTAAGGTACACGACGTTGTTCATACCGGCCGTTTCCATACTTTCTCTGTCTGAAGGCAGACAGATTGCCTCGATTGGTGCTTTGTGGGAAGAGATGAAAACGCGGGGTGTTTAGATACTAATCCCCCCCCCGGGGGGGGGGTGGGGG